AGCGTGGTGGTGGAGAGCCCTGCAGGGTGGCAGCGGGGAGCCCGGTGTGGCAGTCACCCTGCCCGGGACGTCACACGCTGCGCCATGTGCGCCTGCCGTAGTTCCCACCTCGGTATTACCTGGGGCGGAGCCTCACGGTGCGCCGTTTCCTTCTGGCTGCTCCCTAAGCCTTGTTTTTATTGTTTGTTTTGCAGGTTTACGGCGAAGGGTCTGGCCTGGACTGTAGGCGCCATGTCCAGAAATTAAACTTGCTGCAGGGTGAGGCAGAGGAAGCGGTTGGTTGGACATCTCGGTAGAGTGTTTAATCTTTATGTGCTTGTTTCTTCTGATGAGCTACAGTTAATGCACATCTTCACGCATGGGGTGCCTGTTGCCTCATGTGAGCCCACAGGAGGGTTTTCTGTCCGGTTGTGAAGCTATGACATAATCCAGTTTTGTCATCACCTCACGGGAACAAGCTGTTCATTGGGTCTCGTGTTCTGGCGTGTTTCTCTTGACAAGGAATTTTCTCAGATAAGTTTAGTTGATCACCAGTGTGTGTTAGTCAGGCCTTTCCCCATTAAAATATATGCAATAGGGTTTGAGGTTGGTTTTGTGGTGCTTGGTTTTTAAAAAAAAATTGGTCTTATTTATTGCTTGATGAGCTGACTGTGGAGATGTCCATCTTGCAGACTGACAAGCAGTGCAGAGGTGCATCCTCAGAGGGAAAATATTGTCCGCTCCAAGCTGTTGCTGCCTACCTGTTGGCATTCAGGGGTTTCTCACTGTGAATTTGCTGAGGAATCACTGTTGCTATTGATAAAAAGACTGGTTTAGTGCAAACGTTTGGGTGTAATTCCTGATGGTCTGGAAAATCTGATTAGCGCTTTCCTGTTTAGTTCATTCCTGAATCTGTTTACAAATTGCTTTATCTTGAACTGATCTTGAGCTGGTCCAGCTTCCTTTTTACTCAAGGTTATTTTCAGAAATCAGTTAAAGCTAGTTAGATAACTTAGTTGTGTATATGCAGTGCTTCAGGGTTAAGCTTTGGGAAGAAAACTCATTGTTTGTTCACTTTATCAAAAAGGGTTGCTATTTCTAATCTCAGAACATTGTGAAATTCAAAATATTGTGAAATAATTTCCATTTTTCCTTGGTTGCTTGGGATATAATTAGTAGGTTTAAGCTGTCCCAAAGCTTGTCTCAAAGACACGCTGTTCTATCCCTAGTTGTGATCAATTAGAATTCATCATTTCATCATTAGCAGCTCTAGATCAAACTTGCTACTCTATTTGTATAGAAAGGAGGGCTACCCTCTAATTAGATTTTTTCGAGTATTTGGACAATATATCTTGCAAATCTTTCATTTGATATCTGCTTTTCTGTAGATGCTTTTTTTTTCCTGATATGCTTCCTGTCCACTGTTCCTGTCCATGCTTTCTGTCCAATCCCTTGTGCTTTGACTAGGTGATTTGAAAGTTATAAATCAACAGACAGAAGTGTGTTCTAGAAACTCTAGTTTAAACCTCTGTTTTAGGTGCACAGAAGACTCTGTGAATGACAGCAAAAATACAGCAGCCCAACATGAAGACAGTTCAGTCCAGCAGGTAAATTACCTACAAAGCTGAGGTAAGTACCAACCCATACTGACCTAGGTGAATCAAAGTGAAATCAGTGATCCCTTTATATGGGTTCAGACTGCTGAAATAATAGTGTACATAATCTGAGAGGCTCCAGCAGAAAGAGGTTGAGATGTATATCGAAACTCTCTGTTCCACCCGGGTACTGAACCTGGGAACACGATACAGGAACATGTCCTGAACTGACTTATGATTTGAGGCATTCAGCATATACATAACAATGCCAAAAATGAGAACCCTGTATTTTGCTGTTTTCGGTAATTCTCCAATGCTGTAGGAGGGCAGGGCAGAAGTCAGTCGCTGGAGTAAATATCTGGACAAGGATGGTGAAGATGAAGAAGATGGGGAGGAGAAGGCAGGTGCAAAAAGGCAATGGTTCTGTTCCCAGAGAAAGAACGCTGTGGAAGAACAAAGGTACAGAAAGAACTTTTTGTAGTTCCTGACCCCAAGTGCTGACATTTGGCTTGGAGGTGTAGGGGAGGTAGCTCATCTCTGATCGCTGAACAAAGTACAGGTTGCAATGTATGACCTGAGCTGAGCAGGGATTTCGTATTTGGGGTAAAACTTCTGTTATTGCTAGAGCCGTGCATTTTATGAACATTTCTGGTGACTTGTGAAAAAAAATTCACAGTGGAGCTAATCTGTCCTCTTTGTGAATGGTTTTCTTGGCCAGGAAATACCAGGACAGCTTCCTCTCCAGTGATGTTCACGAGTATGCGGAAGAAAATGGAGTTTTCCAGCTCGCCTACCAAGCCAAAAAGGTTAAAACCTCTGAGATGTTTTAGTTGTAGAAGATGCTTCCTGCCAGTAAAGCAAAACAGTGTTCTCCTGAACTCTTTTGTGTCATCATGATTTTGAAGTTTTACCTGTCTATCTTCCTCTGCTCTTCTGGGGAAAAGACTGGAGAAGAGAAGAAGAAAATTTTGTCAGGAGTTTCTCTCTGAAAGGTTTTAGTCAGGCAGAAAAAACAATGCCAAGTTGTGTAAGCTGGGTGGTTGAGCCAGATTCCTCTATCAGCACACTTGTAAACTGCTGCTCTGCATTACTGAGCAGTGGCACCTGTGTAGTACGCAGTTATTGAGGCTGCTGTGATGACCTGCAGGGCTGGTGAGGGTTGCCTGAGTCTCCACAGCCCAGAGGTCATAGGCCCACCCAGCCTCAGCTCTGCCTCAGAGGGCTGGTGAGAACTGGGGTGCATTTGAAGGACATGAGTGCTCGCTCTTTGCTTCTGTGCAGCTTGGCTGTGCGTGCTGGACTGATAACCAAGCTCTCTTTTTCTTCTTACAGCGCAAGAAAAGTGTAGTAGCTGTGCCTGATCAGGATGGTGGAGATGCTGTTTCTGCAGAGCGTATGGTTTCTGCTGTCTGCGAGCCCATAGTGCCTGAGGAGAGTACACAAACCCCAACTGCTTGTACCAAACCCTCCAAGTGGGAAAAATTTCTCTCGTGTTCTGACAACCATAGTGAAAATGCTGCCAGGGTCAGCTTGTCACCACAGGAGGGCAGTGGAAGGTTGGGGCCACACAGCAGCACCACTGCAGCAGATGCTGATATGGCCAGTAGATGCTCAGAACAGGCTGGAAGAACTCTACTTCAAGGTCCAGATTTTGAATTTAAAAAGTGTGTTGCTAGCACTGAGCATCTTGCCTCAAAACTGCCTGGCACCATGGTGCCCAGCACCAGCTGCACAGTTGAGGAGGATGTGTTGTTCAGAGACCCTCAAAGCCAAGGGTTAAGGGCAAGATCTGGTGTCTTAGAGAGTGCTCCAGGAAGGTGCTGTTTGCATGGCATGAGGGCAGATGTCCTTAACTCTGGCACTGGGCCAAAGCTTAGCACCATTTCTTGTGAACAGCTCTTCTGCACGGGTGAGGAGTTCGATGATGATCTCTGAGAAGTTCAGGCATGTTTGGCATTGTTTTGTTGTTTGTAATGTGTTTGGTATGTTGAGTTCTTGAGGAGAGATTTTGCCCTGAAGATGGCTTTACTCTAAGCCTGCACTATTAAAAGTTGTAAACTTGCTCCATGGCTGTGTTTCAGGGAGGGGTACAAGGGTGAAAGAGACTCTTGCAGTGGGCAAGTAGTAGGGTTACATAGTGTTGTTAAGCAACCTCATCAGCTAAGAATAGGACTGGAAGTAGGTCAGGTTGGGGGAAGAAAGCTCCAAGGCTCTAAGGATTCCTGGCCAGTACAATTGAATTCCCCATTGTTGAGTACAGCTCTTTTCCCCTGTGCTACCTCTTTGTTTACATCTCCCATAGCAACCCTTTCTTCCAGAGCTGCAGAGCAGGCTTCGGAGCCAGCCAAACATTTGATTTCTCTTCATAAGTGTGGCCTTACAGGGACACACCAGGTCTACAGTCCTGGGCTGTCTCCTTGCACAGGGAGCTTCTTAGTAAAATCACCTGTTCTCAGTTAAGAGAGCAGAAGCATTTGGCTAATACAGCTATGATACTTAAACACACACAGACTCATCACAGGAAGTATTTATTTTTCCTTCATTCTACAAGCACTTAGGAACAGGAGACAGAAACCTTAGCAGGCAGAAAGGTGAACCGCTGACTAACTCGTACTGCATTGTTTGCTTTCAGTTGGAAGGAAGGTGCTTTTTTGTTACACAGACTACTACAAGTGAGGTGGCTGCTTGGAATACTGGATGGCATCTAGTGCTGCCCCGATGTCACAGTTCTTTGTCTGGAGGAGTCGAGTGAGCCATCCACCCTCATCAGAGAAACCCATGGAGAGCATCTGGGACAGAGATTCAATGAGGCGAGGGTCTGCTTCTGTGAAGGCAAGAGTAGTTTCAAGTTGAAGTATTTCACGGAATTAGCAAGCCAGCCAAGCCTCAATACCATGCAGTAGGTAGGTTGGCACTACTAAGCCCAGCACAGCTAGTTACATGCTAGAAGACATGCTCTCCTTTGTCTCCCAGGAGGGCAGATGTTTGAGATAAGATACATAACCAGGGAAGAAAGCTGCTGAGTCAGCAGGAGCTGGCCTTGCTGTGGCACTCCCTACTGCTGACCTCAGTTAAGTGGCCTGGCATAGTGTTACTGGCTCCCACCAGAAAAATGCTGTTTTCAGCTTACAGGATGCACTTGTCTGCATCCTGAACACTCCATAGCAAGGACATGATTTAGGATATCACTATTTTTCATGTTGCTTGAATGGCCTATTAGTCTGAGTTCAGAAGTCTTGGGAAGCCTTAGCTGCCTACATTCAAGAAGAGAACCACCTGACTGTCTCTAACAGAGTGCAAGAGCTGCCATACCTACTAACAAAGCTATGGACAAGTTTGAGGTCACTTAGTTACACCTAGTTCCTACCATTCTGAAAAGCAGGTCTGCTTAATTTAGGCAAGTTGGCAGTTCCTGAGTGAAAAAAATCACTCTCAGTTATGATACCTGCATGCATTCTCATACCTGGTGGGAGATGTGGGTAGAGTGCAGCTTCTCTCAGTCCTGTAGGTCCTGGTTGAGGAGGATCCTCAGATACATCCAGGGAGCTGGGACCCTCTGTCTCTGGCATTTGCAGAGACTGCAGTTCACCTGTGGAAGGATCCACTTCTTTGGAAGATAAGTGGGTCCAGTCCTCATCACCTCCTGATGAGCTACTAGACTCACTGTGTTCCTGAAACAGAAAGAGAAAAGGTCCAGGTGCTGCAGTGCTTTCCAGGTAGGATGCATGCTCCCACTATCTGCCTTAAATATGAATAGTTACATCCACAAGAAGTCCCACCACCTTTGCTCTAAACTTGTAAAACAAAGGTGCTGCGTATCACTTAATCTGCTGACATCTTAATATTAGCATGCATTGTAGGATTGAATACCTTCCTTTCTAGCAAACCCTAAGCAAGCCTCTTAAATGGGCATCATATTTCTTGTACCTGGGACTGGAAGCTGCCATCTTCCATTTGTGTGGGCACAGGATCTATCACCATGTCTTGTATCTGCTCTGCAACAGTATTTACTTCTGTAACAGGTTCTGTGTTACTCCAGTCTGGTTGGGTCTGAACATTCTGGTTATGAGTACTGCTGCTTGACTCAGCACTGTTCTCTTGACTGGAAGAAGCAGGAGTCACTTTGCTTCTCTGTCCTCCATGTTCCACATCAATATCAACTTCAATACCTAGAAATGCATTTGAGATGGAGAAAGTCTTAAAAGAGATTTTTCCAAAGCACAGTCCTAGGAGAGCATGGATCAATCCTAGTCTAAATGCTGTAAGGTTCTTGTAATCCTACAATTGTCCAGGTAACATGTAGAAATTGAAAGTGCGAATCATCCTTTAAACAAAGAATACTTAAGCACTGAAGTCACCTTCCTCTAGATATACAAGCCATACATTTAGAGGGTCAGGGCAGACATTACTGATGTTCACATACACCAGGCAAAATCCCGAGTCACCACCGCCTTAGTGTTACAGTGGTGACATGTTAATGAAATCTTTCCTCATTTTCCTTCCAAAGGAGGGCTCAGAAAAGGTACTGCGTGGCTGTTCTAAGCCTAAGCATTATTAGTATCACGAGTAACTTAAGCCTTCAAGGCTTAGTAGCATGAGGTAGTTCCAGTATCAGTCACAATAGCTCACTTCTGCTACCATTAAAAACATTTTTAAGCCAGTCTCAGGGACTGGGATAACAAACTGTAAGTCACTTACCCAGGGGGCTCAGAAAAGCTGCAACACTCTCCCCAACGTTCTTTAAGAAGGTGACATTGGGGTCCTGAGGCTGGCTGTTAGTAGAAGCTTCTAGAAAAACAATTT